ACAGGGGCACAGGGGTAGACGAGCGGTGGAACCACCTCCATGGTGTGGGAAGAGGTCTCATCGATGTCTCTAGAGGAGGTGGAGACTCCCCAGGTTTACAGGGAATGCTGATGGTGGGAAACAGTGGTTTTGCAAAAGCACCATTTCCCACTATCGGCCTAGGTCGTCAAGCCGATGGGCGACCAGAAGGTGTTGGGATGCTCAGTGGGTGTGTGGCAGGAGTGAGTGAGATTGGTGGCCATTGAACCCTTCTCACCCGCCAGAGCGCCCTCCGGGTGATTCTGCCATTTCTGAGAAGTGGTCTTGGGGGGGGGGGGGGACGGGGGTAGACAGGTGACGGAGCCACCTCCACGATGTGGGGAGAGGTCTCCTGGACATCTCCAAAAAGGAGGCAGAGATGCCTCGAGCCAATGGGGAAGGCCAACGATGGGAAATAGTGCTTTTGTAAAACCACCGTTTCCCACCATCGACCCAGGCTATCAGGCCAATGGGCGACCGAAAGGTGTCCAGATACTCCGTGGGTGAGTAGTAGTAAGAAGGTGTGGGTTTATTGGCCAAAGAACCCCTCCGCACCCGCCAGAGCGGCGACTGGGTGATTCTACCATTTCCTGAAGTGGTCCCAGAGGGAGAGCTGTCTTAGACGACCCCATAGGAGGCGGAGATGCCCCATTTCCCACTGTCAGTCGAGCCGATGGGCGACCGTAAGGTGTTAGGATGATCGGTGGGTCACGTGCAACTTCGCTTCGATCCTTCTCCCGATTGGTGTTGTGCAGTCTCGAGATTCACAATGTCGCCTTCGAAGGAGTTCCATCAATTTCAACCGAAATGTGTTCAACATGGTCATTATAGGCTGATCACGAATGTTTGACACCCATCCATTGAACGTCTCTATAAGTTGGATGACATTTGGTCATGCCGCATTCTTGGGAACTTAGAGTTCACCCAATGCTCAGGTTCAATGGCCTTTACCCAGTTGCCAATGCATTCATTCAATGTGAAAAGCCTCCCCATTAGTGACTCATACTTGTCGGTACATCTCACATACATGATTTTAAACATTACAACCTTTATTGCATCACACAACTCCTTTGAACTTAGAGTTCACCCAATGCTCAGTCGGCCAATGCGATGACCCTTTGACAGGTAGTGCTTCACCCATGACTTGGCCACCCATGCACGGGAACAAAGGCAGGCATAGAATCGATGGAATGGTGGTGCATGTCAATGACCAATGGGCACTTGAGTGTAAAGGAGATCGATGGTACGAGGTACAACCCAACGACCAAGGGACAATCTGATGTAAAGGATGAACACTATAGCGTGATGCATGTTAGTCAGTCTGTGTAATGACCCATCGACAAGCATCACCATAGGCTGGAGGTATAGACTAGACCTAGGTAGTGCTTCACCCATGACATGGCCACCCATGCACGGGGACCAAGGCAGGTATAGAATCGATGGAAGGGTGGTGCAAGCCAATGACCAATAGGCACTTGAGTGTACAGGAGATCAGTGGTACAAGGTGCATCCCAACAACCAAGGGGCAATCTGATGTAAAGGAGGAGCACTGCAGCGTGATGCATGCCAGTCGGACAGTTTGATGACCCTTCGATAGACATACCAAACTCTTAAAACATCTATAAATGGGGTGGATCATGAATCTAGTTAACACACTTCACATTCTAACCAAATTGTACTCAGTTTTTTCAGGTCTACAATGGAGGAAAATAACATCACCATTGTAATTATTCCACAGAGGGAGTTGCTTAACTTGACCCTCTATGAATTGAACGCACATGATGCAGAGCGGATTGTGAGTGCCAGGAATGGCCTCTATCAAGCAATCGTGGCCTTCAACATACTCGGTCACGAGGTATCATTTACCAGCAAACTCCGTCCATCGCCGAGAGTTAGCATACAAACAACAGTTGCTATATGAATCCGCCACATCAGAGAAGCACACCACGTCCGTGTGGTTGATGTCACATACCCAAAATACCACAAGCAACCATTGATGCATTTTGTACCGCAAAGGAACTAACCAAATCTATTACCCATATATTTTGATCAGTAGTTGTATCATACCTACAACACCCCACCCCCACCCAACCTAAACATTATCACAACACCAAGGAACCACCCCCAATAGGGGTGTTAGGAACCTTCCCTTTCTTTTATGCTAGTATAACATGTATGTGGAAATTTTAATGACCATAGTCGTGTACATCTGATATGTGCCTGCACTTTACACGTGCCAATTCAATTTCCTTTGGTTTATCTATGTCTATGTGCTTCTCGGAAATAGCAGAATCACTAGGAGGCTGCTCTGGCGGGTGTGGAGGGGTTCAATGGCAACTAAAACCTACTCCCTCCTACTACCGCTCACCCACCGAGTATCTTGACACCTTTTGATAGCTCATCAACAGATAGCCTGGGCCGGCGGTGGGAAACAATGGTTCTACAAAAGCACTGTTTCCCACCGTTAGCCTTCCCCGTAAACTCGGGGCATCTCTACCTCCTCTCGGGATGTCCAGGAGACCTCTCCCACCTCATAGGTGGTTCTGTCGCCCGTCTACACCCACACCCCCCTTCGGATCGCGTCTCAGAAATGGCAGAATCACCCGAAGGCCGCTTCGATGGGAGCATAGGGATTCAATGGCCACCAAATCCACTCCCTCCTACTTCCATTCACCCACCAAGCATCCCAACACCTTTTGGTCGCCCATCGGCCCGACGGTGGGAAATGGTGCTTTTGCAGAACCACCATTTCCTAGCATCAGCCTTCCCAGTAAACTCGGGGTGTCTTCACCTCCTCTAAGGACATCGAGGAGACATCTCCCCACCCTGTGGAGGTGGTTTCATTGCCTGTCTACCCCCACACCCCCTCCGGGACCGCTTCTCAGAAATGGCAGAATCACCCAAAGGTCACTTCGGCGACTGAGGTGGGGTTTGATGGCCACCAAACCAACTCTCTCTAACTACTACTCACCCACCGATCACCCTGACACCTTCTAGTCACCCATCAGCCCAACAACCCGAGCCGATGGTGGAAAATGGTGGTTCTACAAAAGCATCGTTTCCCATCGTCAGCATTCCCCATAAACCTGGGGTGTCTCCGCCTCCTCTAGGGACATCCAAGAGACCTCTCCCCACCTCGTGGAGGTGGTTTCGCTACCTGTTTACCCCCGTGGCCCCCTCTAGGACCGCTTCTTAGAAATGGAAGAATCACCTGGAGGCCACTCCGGCAGGTGTAGGGGGGTCCGATTGCCACCAAACCCAGTACCTCCTATTGCCACTCACCCACTGAGCATCCTAACACATTCTGGTCGCCCATCGACCCGATGGTGGGAAACAGTGGTTCTACAAAAGCATCATTTCACACCTTCGGCCTTCCTCTAGGGACGTCCAGGAGAGCTCTCCCCACCATGTGGAGTTGGTTTCGTCGCCTGTCTACCCCCGCGCCCCCTAGGACTGCTTCTCGGAAATGGGAAAATCACTCGGTGGCCACTTCGACGGGTGAGGAGGGGTTCGATGGCCACCAAACCAACTCCCTCCTACTACCACTCACCCACCAATCATCCCAACACCTTCTAGTCACCCATTGACCCAATGGCTTGGGCCGGTAGTGGGAAACGGTGGTTCTGCAAAAGCATTGTTTCCCACCGTCGGCCTTCCCCGTTGGCCCGGGGTGTCTTCATCTCCTCTGGGAACATCCAGGAGACCTCTCCCCACCCCGTGGAGTTGGTTCCACCACCCATCTACCCCCACACCACCCTTCCGGGACTGCGTCTCAGAAATGGCAGAATCACCTGGTGACCTTTCCGGCAGTGCAGAGGGGTTCGATGGCCACCAAACCCACTCCCTTCTACTGGCACTCACCCATGGAGCATCCCGACACCTTCTGGTCGCCCATTAGCTAGATGGCCCTAGCCGATGATGGGAAATGGTGCTTTTGTAGAACCATAGTTTCCCACTATTGGCCTACCACGTAAACCCAGGGTGTCTCCGCCTCCTCTAGGGACATCGAGGAGACCTCTCCCCACCCCGTGGAGGTGGTTTTGCCGCCTGTCTACCCCCGCGTTCCCCCTCTGGGACCGCTTCTCGGAAATGCCAGAATCACTCAGAGGCCACTCTGGCGGCTGCATAGGGATGTGATGGTCACCAAACCCACTCCCTTCTATTGGCACTAACCCACCGAGCATCCTAACACCTTCTGGTCGCCCATCGGCCCAACAGTGGGAAATGGTGGTTCTGCAAAAGCACTACTTCCCATCGTCGGTCTTCCCTATAAACCCGGGGCATCTCTGCCTCCTTTGGGGACATCTCGAAGAGCTCTTCCCACCTCATGGAGGTAGTTTTGCCACCCGTCTACCCCCGCGCTCCCTTCCGGGACCGCTTCTCGGAAATAGCAAAATCACTTAGAGGCTGCTCCAGCGGGGCAGAGGGGATCGATGGCCACCAAACCCACTCCCTCCTAGTGCCACTCATCCACCGAGCATCCCGACACTTTCCAATCGCCCATCAGCCTAGGTCAACGATGGGAAACAATGGTTCTGCAAAAGTAGTGTTTCCCACCGTCGGCCTTCCCCGTAAACCCGGGGCGTCTCCGCCTAGTTCGATGGGTACAACACCCACTCCCTCCTACTACCACTCACCCACCAAGCATCCCGACACCTTCCAGGCGCCCATCGGCCTGACGGCCCGGGCCGACGGTGGGACAACACTGCTATGGAGATAAGGTTTCACCAGACAATATTAAAATGAAATTTTGCATGACTTTAAGCGATTCATCTGTAAATTTACATAGTTAGAGCTGCTCAATTGTTAAATCTGTACAATAATTTACATTGTTAATATATGCTTACACTGGTAAAATGAGAGAAAGTAAAAATAAAAAGGTTTTCAATCATCTTCATAACATGTGCAATTCATGGGATATGGTTCTGGATGAGTTTAACCAATATCTGCCACCTAATAACATTGATAATTCCCTACAATAAAGGTACTATATGTTAGTACTAACATGAGACATTTAGGTATGAGCTTACAAATGGAATTCAAGTGTATTCACTAAATCAAAGTCAAAATCTAAGCCCCGGGCAATGCAATCCATGCACTTCATCACAAATACCGCACAATCGCTACCACTGCACAAAACATACATCACTTAAAATTTCGAACACTAGTAGAGAAATGACGAATGTAGGTAGAGATGAAGCTTCGGTGATGAAATGGCAAACACTAGTAGAGAAACGACTCTGAGAAATTTTGAAATCGAGAAGCTCTAGTGATGAAACGACTCTAAGAAATTTCGAAATGGGGAAGCTCTGGTGATAAGAGATGAAGAACTCGGGTGATTAAATGACTCTTAAAATTTTCAAAATGAGGAAGACACTATAAATTTGAAATGGAGAAGACTTTGTAAATTCGAAATGGGGGGGGAGGAGTCGAAACAAATTTCAAATTTCTTGGTTGGGGCTGGCATGGGTTTCGATTTCAGTACGTTCCAAATCGAAATTTCGACTTATAAGGGGGAGCTGGTTGAAGACTATTTTATGTGTTTATTATTTAACTAAAATAATTAATAGGTGGAATTCGAATTCAATAAACTATTTGCATATTTAATCAATTTTAGATATTTCTTGATTCGATTCAAATTTGATCATTTTACACCCCAATACTTGGGTATTATCTTGTTGTGGTTGAAATGGAAATTTGTTTAAGAGATGGCAGAAATGCTCTCATACCTAAGGCCATCAACGTGTTAGGTCCAAGTAGGGGTGGCAACGAGCCAAGCTTTTCATGAGCTGCTCGAGCTCGGCTTGGTTTCAGTCAAGCTCGAGCCCAATTCAGTGGCTCGATTATTAAAAGAGCCAAGCTCGAGCCTATTGGAGCTCGGCTTGTGAGGCTCGCGAGCCAACTCAAATATATATATATATATATATATATAATATAATAAAAATATAGAAAATAATATATGTAATAAAAATATTATAACTATTAATTATTATAATTCTTAATTTTTTAAATATAAAATAAAAAAAAATTATATGATTTTTATTTTTGTAAAACATTTTTTCTAAATATTTTTATAGAATATAAAACGAGCTGAGCTCAAGCTTATGAACTTTTGACTCGAGACGAGCTTGAGTTCAAGGTTCTGGCTCAAACCGAGCTCGAGCCTTATAGAATAGTTTCGAGCCAAGGTCAAACCTGGTACTATTCGGCTCAGCTCGGCTCAAGTCCACCCCTAGGTCCAAGTAGAATCAGAACTGACCCAATAAGAAATGCTAAGACCCAAAACTAAACTAGACCCAATAGAGTCTGTAATTTTAGATGTATAATTGAATCGACTGATCCTCGAGACAATCAAATCTAACCCAATGGACCCAATTACAATAAACCTACTAACAACATTCAAACAAAGAATGCTGTCTGTGGGGCCACTGACAGCATTCAAACAAAGATTTGCAGGGGTAAATTCCTTTAGAAGAAGAAAAGAGTTGTGAACAGAAGAGGGAACCGGAAGAAGATAAGAATGGGTAATGGAGGATTCGGTTAAAGAATGGATAACAGATAGGTTAAAGAATGTTTTAAATTTTAATTAATATATAAAAATAATAATTACCGGTAACTGCAGTATACGTGGCAATATTAGAAGTTTTAGATATGATATGGTTTTCCATATCATAGTTGGACCCTTTTAAATTACCTTAATTGGCTTAATTTACTCATTTAGATATTGATTAGCTTTGTTTATCTTAATTAGTATAATTTAATTAATTAACTTAGTAAAATTAATTAAACACTTTACGGTCATTTAATTAGACCTTGAAATTGGCCCCATGTTTTTCAAACTTTAGCGTCAAAAGTGGCTTTTTTCAAACTTTAGTAGCCACATAACATTATCTAACGGATCTGCCAATATCTTTTCAAACGCTACCTTTTTTGCCTAGGGTTGCCCTTTCCTCCAAAGTATGGGGTTGAAAGTGGCCCTTTATATGTTTTTGGGTTGAAATTGGTCATTTTTCAAAGTTCAAGGGTTGTGAGAGCCAAAAATCTTATATATATATATATATATATAATACTATTAGTAGGTTTATTGTAATTGGGTCCATTGGGTTAGATTTGATTGTCTCGAGGACCGGTGGATCTGATTATAGATCTAAAATTATAGACTCTATTGGGTCTAGTTTAGTTATGGGTCTTTAATGTTTCTTGTTGGGTCAGTTCTGATTCTACGTGGACCTAACCCGTTGATGGCCTTAGGTTTGAGAGCATTTCTGCCATCTCTTAAACAAATTTCCATTTCAACCCCTAAAAGATGATACCCAAGTCTTGGAGAATTCAAATTCAAATAAATATTCAAATAGTTTATTGAATTCGAATTCCACCTATTAATTATTTTAGGTAAATAATAAATATATAAAATAAATATTTTAATTATATAAAATATATAAGGTATATAAATTACGTATTATATATAAATGATATAAAATGTTTAAATATTTTATGTATTATATATAAGAATTAAATAATCAGTCGAATTATAATATTTATTGAATTGAAAAAAGTCATATCTAAATTCAGTCAATTATGATATTTAAATTATTCGAATTCAATTATGTCGAATATTAAACTCAAAATCGAATTTTTAATGCCATTAATGATACCCCTACCCAAGTTATAGTAATGCATAAAACTTTACTAACCGTGTTTAGACCATTAAATATAAAATTATAAACAATGATGTGAACACAGACCTCTCGATAATGCCTTTGTATGGAACTGGTCTTAAGAAAACGGGTAACATGTAGTAGCCGGTTCCTAAATACTCGGTAAAGCTTTCTTATGGAATTGATATTATAAGAACCAACCATATTTTAGTAAGGTCATTTAGATGGCTATGAGAACATCTAAGACTGTATGTATGGAACTGGTTATCATCCTAGATCGGTAAGGCCATTTAGCAATTGATTTGTTTCAGAAAAAAGAACCAATTTTGCATGTTCAAGATCTCAACAGTTACATCAGTTCAAGTGAAATCACGCTTTTGAATAATATAAACGAGAAACCTCAACTACTGAATTCCTGGAGCTGATTTCATGAAACGCATAGAGTACGGTAGAGGAGTATGGGTTTTATAGGTATTTTTGTAAAAAACAAAAAGTTGAACGAGTATGACATAGGGGGTTCAGTAGTATTTTGATTTCAACACTGGGTTTAAACGTGCTGGTTTTAATGGTAAAGGCGTGGGGGGATTTTCTTTTTCTGAAGGGGAGCTCATAGTCATTTCCCCTTTTTTATTTTTATTTAATTGTAGAAAATAAAAAACAAGACCCACAAACTGCTGGCTGGGCCGGGTCAAACAGTTTAACAGTTCAACCACTTGGGTCAGTGGCTCTTTGACAATTTCAACGGTTTTTCAAAAATGACAGTCCAATCCAAAATCAGACCCAGACCCCTGACCGGTTCTCGAGTTGAACTGTTTAACCGTCCAGTCTAGTTTGATTTTCAAAACAGTGGAAACCACTCAGGATTTTTTACTCACTTTTCCTACCCACTCTCTATTTGCCGTGAATTGGTGCCACACATCTCTATTATGAATTAAAAAATGTGTGACTCCAATTCACTGCAGATAAAGAGTGAGTAGGAAAAGTTAATAAGAAATATGAGCTCCAGTGGTACATATTCCGAGAGGCGACAAAATTGGTTCTAGGGAACAAACACTTAACCATGACTCAGCTATCACATATATCTTCTACAATTCAGATCTATCTGCTGTTTGAAAATCTGGTTTCTTAATTTATTGTTACAGCCATATTTCTTCTTATTTTCCAACAATTACAAGCAACAAGACCTTACGAAATAGCCAATTGACACCTTGTTACCAAAAATTCTATTTTTTCCCTTTCTCCTCTTACAAATGCATGTTCCTTTCAATTAGTAAATAGTAATATGGAAGGAGAAAGTGAGACTTTACCCGGTACTTAATAATTACAAGATTCTTTTTGGCAGTAATATTTACAAGTTAGCTGTAACTATAGTTTAGTCAGTTAGGGGTGGATGCTCAGGCTGTGTACTCAGGAGGTGCTCAATGCTCTGGTACGTTATCCACAAAATTTGGTAGGCAGAGCGTTTCTCTAATCAATCTGCTCAACATTTCAACCTGCAATGAACGAAGTAACTTAAAATAATGAATTAATGATTCATCTTGGCCCAGTAGTGCTGCACTCAAGACGCAAAATTTACCAAGCTATGGTAATCATATCTAGTCATTGGGTCATTGGAACCTATTGCATGGATGATGATTGCAATTAATATGTAATATGCTAATATCTGGTTGGTAAGGTTAAGTAGAAATAGTAATTACTGACATTTGATGGAAAAGTTGATTTCTTGCTCAGATGTTCAAGATACCAGGAGGTTGGTTGTTCCCCCTCTATCTTTTTTCTTTCCCATAACGTTGCGCTTTTGTTTTACTGTTGCTTTTATAGAAGTCAATTAAAGGAACAAACCAAATAGACAGTCATTAGAGATCAAACAACCTACCAGATTGGTGGTTTTCAGGAGTTTCAATTCCCTTGCTGGTGTTTGGCTCGATCGTGGCTTGACTCTGCAAGGGTTAATATGGAGATATTAGCACTCGCAGTTTTGTAATAGGAAATTTCTTTCGTTATCTTTTCTTGGTCCATATGTGAGAGAGCGACAAGTTATGCGTGTGCTTGCATGTTCTCAAATGTGCTGATATGGAGACGATATATTAGCTCAGGGCAGGTCTATTATGTGAACAAATGGGCGTCTAGACGATATATTATCTCCCGTGAATATTTACTAATAAGTACGGGAGATGTTCTCAATGCATGATAGGATGTGCGTGCGAAGCGCCAGTGAGGCACTAGAGGTGTGAGGAGCAGATTCGGTCTCATCTGTTATAAAAGTAATAAATCCTAATTCAATGATAACCAAACCTGAGGTTGGTGGAACTTGCATCTGGTGGAGACCAAAATAGTGTTGATAGGGGTCAGGGAAGTTGGGAAATAGCATCTGGCTGGGATTCTGCATGCCAATGGAGTTTGATGCAGGGTCTGACTGGTTGGTTGCTTGTCCTCTGGATGGGCCAACAGTAGGAACAGGCGGTAAATGAAATGCTGGCATAGGGAGCTTCGGACCCAGATGAGCTGCTGCAGTTGGTGTAGGCATGCCTGAACCAGCTAAAATCGAGTGGAATGGCAGCACTGGTCGACTCATGCCCATCCCCATCCCTATACCCATATCCATGCCCATACCCATTCCCATTCCCATCCCTATCGTTGGCATATATTGCTGGACACCAGGAAACATCATAGGGACCATGCCACATCCCATGGACATCATCTGCAGACATTGGCTAAGTCATAATTTCTTCCATAAATCATGCAGGTATAACTACGAGACAATAAGAAAATTAGATGATCAAAATTTCAAAGAAGATATGCAACATATATCAAAAGGGGAATGGCGTCAATACTCATTAGAAAACTGGCAAAATCTGAGAAGAATTTGATCACAAAATTTTCTGACAAATAATTAAAGAAAGAAATGATTTGGATACTAGGATGACGCATTAGAGATCCTAACAAGATATAACGAGGACTCATGAAACAATGTTTCCCTCCACTAAGGGAAAATTTTATTTTTTATTTATTTTTTCTGAAGAGGAGATACTGTAATTGTTGCAGCAGCTTGCAGAATATTCACATGACTCCAGATGACATGTATCCGTTATTGTATCCCAGGATCCTCTTATACGGTTATTTCTATGAAGAAACATTATCTGTTGATTTTAGCCAGGAGCCAGTGGTGACAGCACCCAACTTTTTCAGTTACTACTTACTGATAAAAAATGAATGCCCTAATTTTAGTAATGTTACGAGATTATGGCAGTGATAACATGAAATTTGTGTTTGCAAAACATGTAGCATATATCCAGTAAAGTTCAACATAAAAGGTTAAACTATCATGTGAGGTATATATTAATTTATTCTTTAAAAGACAGCATGGACAAGTACTGGTCCACCCATACATTATATATTTTGTTGAAATTTAATTAATTATAGTGGAGCCACAAGAATCGAACACCAAACCATTTGATCAACACTATCTTAAGGAATTGTTTAACATAAAAAGCTTAAACTGTTACATGAGTTACCTAAATAGATGTTTATTATCTAACAAATATAATGATGCATATACAAATTCATACAGGGCATCATACTGGTTTATATTAATTTCACGAAGAACAGCATAAGTATAGATGTTCAGAATCTGACTAACTAACCAATTGGAGCATTTCTCGTGGGGTACATAGCTGGTTTGTGGTGTGTGTTTGCGTGTGCGCGAATGAGGAGAACACACACATACCTGCACTTGTAACTGAAGTGATTTCAAATACTCAATTGCCTCATCCAGCATTGAAGCCTTGTCTGACTGAAATTCGGAATAGGAAAGTTAGAAATAAGATGTATAACTTCCAATTTACATAATTGTTTCTACTGTACATAAGTATAACCTTGTTGCATCGGGGTATGAGTTCTTGCAATGCCTTCATCTTCTCGTTTATCCTATCTCGACGTCTCTGCGTTATAAACTTATAATAACAGAATGAATATTATTTATTCACACCAGGGGAATCAATTCCATTACCATGTAAATAACAATATATAAGAAGAATAAACATACCCTCTCTGAAAGATTGTGAACCTCTGCAGCACGACCTTTTCTTGCAGCTGTTGATCCACGAATTTCTTTCTTCTTATCCATGATTTCATATTCAACATCCTTTTTGCAACAAAAACCAACTACTCAAATAACAAAAAAAAAAAAAACAGAAAATAATAAATAAGAGGAAAAAAGGAATATGTTGTAATGCATTTGATGAGGGGCAATTTGGTCCTTTTGCCCTCCAGTGATATTATGCCACGTGGCAATCCTGAACCATTGCTTAATACCTCAATGCTACATACATAAGACTGGTTTGTAGGCACCTCGGCTAGCTCAGGACTAGGTCGGCCAGCCCAAGACCAGGTCAGCCAGCTTAGGATTAGGTCGGCCAGCCTAGGACCAAGTCGACCATCTTAAGATCAAGTTCGCCAGCCCAGGACCAAGTTGACCATCTCAGGACTAGGTCGGCCAGCCCAGGACCATGTTGGCTATCTCAAGACCAGGTCATCCATCCTAGGACGAGGTCGGCCATCCTAGTTCCAAGTGTAGGCAGGTCGGCCATCTCAAGACCAGGTCGACCATCATAGGATCAAGCTAGGGACCTTGGAATGAGGGACGATCTCTCATCTTTGACCTGACTGAAGCGTGGCTGGCGACCTACACGACATGGTGGCTGACCCCCATCATGAGTGAGCTATCGTCTCTGAATCGTCTAGGATCATATTGCCCCATCGATGAAGCTAACTCCCGCCCAACCCGCTTTGGATGCAACCGGGTGACTTCTATCACTTTAAGTGGAAATCGCCTCTGAGTGAGGTGGGCCAATAACCCATATCCCCCTAGAGATACCGATTGTGTAGTGTAAAGCCCATGGCAACCTGTGCCTATATAAAGGTGTCCCATTGATTAGAGAAGGTATGCACGAACCTGTGCCTATATAAGCATCGGAGTGCCCACCCTGACTAAAGCAACCTGGGTACTTTGAGACTATTCTCTTGCAACTCAACCAGGCGACCTCACCAACCTGACATCCTGTCCTCCAATAGAGAGCACCAGATCGCATAACATCAATTGGCACCATCTATGGGAACCCCTACATTAAAGCCAAGTTCTGACCAACCCATTAAGCGTTAAGATTTGGCATCAATCAAGGAAAACAACAATAACAATGCCTGGATCGAAGGAACCCCCGCAGGGGACAGAATAAGAATCACTAGTCCGGACAAGTTCCAATAGTCTCACTCGCATAGAATCTCCTAACCCTGATAGTGGGTCGCCCCATGGGTCGAGCCCTTAATGCTCTCCGTGAAAGTTGATGGCCAACAAACTATGAAGCCGCTCCTGCGGGTCGAACCCTCCAAGGTTCACATGGGAATTGACGGCCAATAGATTGTGGAGCCACCCCCGCAAGTCGAACCCTCCATGGTTCCCATGGGAGTTGACGACCAACAGACTATGGAACCACGACAGTAGGTTAGCCATACCGAGGTGATGAGGTGTGTATAGGCCGAGGTGCTAAGAGCAAATTGGCCTATTCAAATTTCGGCATGGTCAAGCCCGCGTAAGAGATAACCCGATTCCGCCGACTTGACCTGACTCATGATACACACACTTTGGCGAAAATCTACAAATGGAAATCCAAAATGCATTTAGCATTAAGGCTCCCTCGTCGACATCATTCTCTCTGCTATCCACCACCTCGGTTTCAGGCTCCACAATGACCTCGTCGGCCATCCCTTCGAGGATTGGCTTGAGGGACATTGCGTAGAAGCCTATGAGTGGAGTGACCTAAGGAAGCAATGGCATAGTGAAGCCCTTCTTGAGGGTGGGCACGACAAACTTCTCTCTTGAGGTGCTTGGGCGAACGGAACTCCTCGATGACTACATCCCTAGCTCGATGAATGCCCTCAGAGGACTCACTTCACCTCTCCTCATGTTGATGAGTTCGTTCTTGTGCCCCGGTGGTCAAGATGGTGATGTCCTGCGTAGTTTCGCATTCAACGCTTAGACTCTTCCAACTCGGGTGAGCAAACAAGGTCAACACCAATGAACCAACAGAACTCACTTCGAGAGGGGCCAATTGATGAGGGGCGATTTGGCCCTCCAATGACATTGTGCCACATGGCGATCCTGAAATGTTGCTTAACACCTTGGTGCCACCTAGGCAAGGCCAGTTTGTAGGCACCTCGGCCCAAAGCTAGGTCAGTTAGCTCAAGAGTAGGTTAGCTAGCCTAGGACCGGGTTGGCTAGCTTAGGACTAGGTCAGCCATCTCAGGACCAGGTCAGCCAGCCCAGGACCAAGTTATCCAACTCAAGACCAAGTCGGCCAGCCCAAGATTAGGTCGGCCATCTTAGGACTAGGTCAACCAGCTAGCCTAGGACCAGGTCGGCCATCTCAAGACCAGGTGTAGGTAGGTCAGTCATCTCAGGACCAAGTCGGCCATCGCAGGATCAAGCTAGGGACCTCAAAATGAGGGACGACCTCTCACCTCTGACCTGGATGAAGCGCGATCAATGACCTGTATGACGTTGTGGCCAACCCCCATCATGAGTGGGTTATTGTCTCCAAATCTTTCGGGATTACATCGCCCCGTCAACAGAGCTAACTCCCACCCCACTCGCTTTTGAGGCAATCGTGTCAGTTTTATCGCTTTACGTGGAAACCACTTCTGAGCGAGGTGTGTCGATAAACCACGTCCCCTCGGAGATCTCAGGAATGTAGCATGAAGCCCACGACAACCTGCGCCTATATAAAGGTGTTCCATTGATTAGAAAAGGTACACACAATTTAACTCTCAAGCATTCTAGCTCTCACAATAATTCTTCGTTGACTTAAGCATCAGAGTGCCGACCCCAAGTAAAACAACCTGGGTACTCTAATACTATTCTCTTGTAGCTTGACTTAGTGACCTCACCAATCTAACATCTGAATTGTCCTCCAGCAGGGAGAACCAGATCACGCAACATCAGTATTCATCTTATAAAATGAGACTTGACACTGACCGCATTATACAAACAACAAAGAACTTTTTAATTGGTAAATCCACATATCAACACCAACAGGGAAAATGGGATGCAACTTAGACTAGTTGAGTGGGAGTGAGTTTTAACCTAGCTCAACCTTAAAACTTAAATGTCAGGCTCGGGCCTAGTCCAATTCGAGGCCAAGTCTGACTTTACCAACCCAGGCCCATCTTGAGTTTAAGGCAGTTTAGGCCAGGCTTAGTTAGGCTTCGGTGGATAAAGTATTAAGTTGGGTTTGAAAGGATTTTTGAATATGTTTTAGGGAGAATGACGATTCAGCCCAGGGTCAGAATTTGTAGGCTCAAAGTACATTTGGGGTAGGTGCCAGCTCGGAATTGATGCTAATTCACGGGCGGTTATGGGCGCATAGAGTGTGAATTTTTGACCTTTTGAATGTTTACAACTCTACAATGGAAATCAGAAATCTGCATTGGGCCTATTTGTACTTCTCCGTATATTTTATACATCTACAGGCTTTGTAACTCAATTTAAGAGTAAAGTAAAATAGAAATAATCAACTGATGGTGGTTCAATTGTTGAATCTCTGACTTGCTAGAGTAGAGACATTGAATCAAATCCTGCTGCCACTAGGGCTGGAGGGGTTAAGGGAGGGGTAAGGGTTACCCCTGTTGTGTAGCCTAATGAAGTAAAAAAGAAAAAAAGATGTAAAACGGAAATATGTACAAATGATATTAACAAATGCATTTATTACATATTTTATACATGTATACATTCATATATAATATATACAATTAAAAAATTATTTCTATATAAATAAAACGCATGTGTATATTGTATTTGCTTGTGCATGGATATGAATTTAGACTCACCATATACATCTTGTAAATAATTAGATATACTTTAGAGTGCACATCATGATGGCCATATATATGTAACTTACAGACATACATACACATCATAAACACGTAATATACACATATATTATAAGCACACATATCATATAATGCCAGGAGGGCTTAGGCTATCCAAGGCCTTCAACCCAAGCCAATCTGAGTTTTACGTTGGGCCTACGTTGTTTTGGCTTAGGCCCACTCTGAATCTCTGAAAGCTCAAGCCTAATCCATGCAGAAGCTTGGGTTGGGTTCACTCAAGTTGCAGCCCTAAGAACAATAATACAATATATTAAAAATGCTCTTGTGATAAATGAAGTAAAATACAAATAGATAAACAAGATGAGAAAAACTACTTTGGGAATGTCACCACAAGTTTAGAACTTGATTTAAGTTAAATTTTCTCTCTTCCTTTAAGCCATCTGTGGAAGTTAATGCGCTTTAGAGTGCTCCAGATGAATCTAGCATTTTGTAGAATGGTTATAGAAAGAGAATAGAAAGACTCTTCGAGATAGTGGTAAATCTTTGGTTGTTGTGAACTCTTTTTTGCAAATGCATGTAAAGTGAGTCTAGGTGATTGTGGTGAATTAAAGTAGATACATTGTTTAGGTATAGAGAAATTAATTTTTCTTTAAAGATTGAGAAGAATATGATACACCCTGTATCGATGTATTTTATCGTATCATTGGGTTTCTGATACACCTCATAAACAAAGGTGTTTTCAGGAAACTAATTTTGTATTAATTAAACAATATAAAATCATGTGTAAAAATGAAATTTAAAAAAAAATTAAAAAATAAAACATGTAGGTGCATCAATATTATAAATCATGTATACTCATATATGGCTGTACTAAAAGAGAAACAAGACAAGAAAAGGAAGACAATATAAGAGACGCACAAAAAACGGGGACAAATTAAAAGGTTTGAGAGTCCATGAATACAAAGGGAAGTTAGTACGGGCCTTTGTAGCTATACATCTCCATGTCTGCCTACTCTCTTGGCAGTGTAAATGACAATCATATAATGCGTTGGTGAAAGTTTATGTTTGAATACACCCCAAGCAGGAGTTGCTGGACTAGTGTTAAAGGTTTTGTGTGTATCAGTGACATTATGATGTACTTATTAACGAAGCTAATTATGGTATCAGAATTCTATAAATCCTGAAGGTAAAACTAGCAGTGTTATTAGGGTTTTCTTACAAACCAACGTTGGTTTCAGGCCATAACATTACTTCTCAGTG